GCTTGCTCTTCTCACAGGAAGAAAGGCGAGCGCAAATTCTTCTTTGTGTCTACCGCTCTGCCTTTCCCTGGGTGTGGTGGGGCTCACTGGGTAAGAGCTTTGCCTCCGGAGCTACATTTGCCTGGTGGTAGCATGGGGAGAGGGTGCTGTGCAACAAGCATGACTGGAAGTCAACAGACTTCATCACTTACTGTCGTGGTCTCAGGTTTTGTCATCTGCAAAAAGGGGACGATGATGTCTTCCTGTTTGGTCAGCAGGCGAGGAGAGTTCCATCAGGGAAATGATGTCTTCTGTTCTGCCCTCAGGCTGCAGGATCCCGAGGCTGAGGGACAGGAAGGGGAGCGCCCACACCCACCCAGAGTGAGCGACCGAGTTAAGTCACTTCACGGGGCTGCTTTCTGTTTCCTTGGATTCCACTGCATAGAAGCAAAGGAGTGTGTTTTCCTAGCTGAGACACACCTCACAGGCAGTTAGACACCCCGACGACAGAGAAAAGAAAAACCAAGGGAAATAGGTTCTTAGCTCATTTGGGTAATCAAAATTGTACATCATGGTGTTTTTCCCCTTTATTGAAATATTTCTGTTAGGTAGTTAAGTAGACATGAGCAAGGGATGAAGATGGAAAAGGGTAAGAAACAGGAAGCCAGCTGACATTTAGTTATTTACTCATTTTAGACATTTTCTTTTATGATGAGCTAGGCCGAATACAAAAGCCGCTTGGATTTTTTTATTTTTTTGAGTTGGAGTCTCACTCCATCACCCAGACTGGAGTGCAGTGGCCACTCCCGGCCACTGCAGCCTCGACCTGCTGGGCTCCGGCGATCCTTCCACCTCAGCCTTCCGAGTAGCTGGAACTACAGGGGCGCGCTACCACGCCCGGCTAATTTTTGATTTATTATAGAGATGAGGTCTCGCCAAGTTGCCCAGGCGGGTTTCGAACCCACGGGCTCAGGCAAACCACTCATCTCAGCCTCCCACGGCATGGGATTACAGGCTGAGCCACCGAGCCCAGCCTGGACTCTTTTAAAACTCTCTAAAATTCTGAAAATGAAAACTCTTATCCTTTATGATAGTTTCTGACTTATGTTTTATGTTAATAATTAGCTTGGTCTTGTAAACTAGAGCTTATTGCATGTATGAGAAATAAATCATGAAAAGATAGAAAATGTACAGCCTCAAAATTGTTTAAAGACACTTGCAACTTTAACAAGGTAGAAATAAAAATATCTAAACATTTGTTCACACCAAAGGTCAATGAAGGATTTATAATATAACCATAAAGAGGGAAAACAAGCCCAAGAGGGAACTAACCAACTGAGACCAGGGACTAAGACAAAGAAAAATAAACTCTAAAAATTAAATCAAAGAAAGGAGTGGTACTTACTTTCTGGACAGCCCACTCCTCTTGATTTTTAGGAGTTCACTAACCTTGCTTTAGAAACTCTGCTCTGCTTTACTTGCTTGCAACAAACCTCTGCCTTGCTGTTCTGAGTCTGGTGTCGTGACGAATAACTAATGAACCCCAAACCAGCATTTCTGTTGACACTTCTTGGCCAATAAAAAATGAGAATTGGCAAAAAAAAGTAAACAGAAGGCAATAATAATTTGTAGGGTTCTTCATCTAATGATCTAGTGAGCAAATTCTGTTTTCTCAATTTTCTTTGTAAAAGTTGTAATTGAAAAATTATGGCTGAAATCACATTGCATATGTATCTTGCTTTATTCATGAAGTTCCCATGTTACATGCTTTATTTTTTTTTCTTTTTCTTTTTTCTTTTTGAGTTGGAGTCTCACTCTGTCGCCCAGAATGGAGTGCAGTGGCTGCTCTTGGCCACTGCAGCCTCGACCTGCTGGGTCCGGCGATCCTTCCGCCTCAGCCTTTCAAGTAGCTGGAACTACAGGCGCGTGCTACCACACCTGGCTAATTTTTTATTTATTGTAGAGACGAGGTCTCACCAAGTTGCCCAGGCAGGTCTCGAACCCACAGGCTCAGGCAATCCACTCACCTCGGCCTCCCAAAGCGCTGGAATTACAGGCTGAGCCACCGAGCCCAGCCTTACATGTTTTAAAAACCATCTTTTGCTGGCTGCCTCACCTTCCACTGGCTGGATGCATCCCATCTTTCTCAGCCAGCTCCCCAACGGGTGTACTTTGGTGGGGATGAAGTGTGCCCATGCTGTTTCCCAGCTCACTTATGTTATGGCCTTGGAGATCAATTTCATTTTCTTTTCTTTTTGTTTTTTTTTTGAGTTGGAGTCTCACTCTGTCGCCCAGACTGGAGTGCAGTGGCTGCTCCCAGCCACTGCAGCCTCGACCTGCTGCGCTCTGGCGATCCTTCCGCCTCAGCCTTCCAAGTAGCTGGAACTACAGGCGCGCGCTACCACGCCCGGCTAATTTTTGATTTATTGTACAGATGAGGTCTCACCAAGTTGCCCAGGCAGGTCTCAAACTCACGGGCTCAGGCAATCCACTCACCTCAGCCTCCCAAAGGCGCAGTATTACAGGCTGAGCCACTGAGCCCAGCTCTCAATTTCATTTTCTTTGGCAGGCACTGGCTCCTACTGTGGTAGCCTTTGCTGTGGGAGGCGGGAGTGGGGGCAGCACCACCTTCCCTGTGCACAAACTCTCCTTGATGGTTCCCACAACAGAAGGAACTGAGGCATCCACCCATGAGCTTGGGTCTTCTACTTGCTGGACAGCAACCTTCTCCCCAGCTCTGTGGAACCAACCACATGCTTTTGGCCTCTCATCCACTGCCTGCCTCTGCTGGCAGGGAACTAATGCTGTGATTTCCCAGGTTTATAGATTGTAAAGATTTTCCAGGAGGGAGACTCCAGAGAGACTCTGACCAAAATGCCAGTGGTTTCAGTTGACATCTCACCTGACCGTTATACAGCACGCCAGATGGGCAATTAGGTGAGGGGATGGCTGGACATGCTGGGTAGCATAATTGGAGGCCAGAGATGTGGATCCCAGTTCTTTAATTTATTAGCTGTGAAAATGGAGCAAATTATTGACTCCCAGAGCCTGGGTTTCTTCATATTTATGAGAGAAAAATTCCTTCCCTCCAGGGTTTTTGTGGGAATTAAATAAGACAATAATGTAGGTGAACCTGCTGAGTCCAGCGTTTGACCAGATCATGTCAGTTAATACATGATTGAGTTCATTCCCACCCCATGCCCGCACCTCCAGGGATCCAAGTTTAATTGTTCCATTATACCCTACACAGCTATGATGAAGCCAATGAGCTCTTGTTCACAAAAGCTTTATCTTCTTGGAGAAAGTTCTCCAAAGCCATGGTATCAGCCAACTGGTCAATCCAGTAATAGCCTTGATGGTTTTTTGGCCCATTGCTCTGGCCAGATAATGTACAAATAAAGGGCTCTCTACCCCCATCTTGTTCAAGACCACTTAATTTACCCTAGGAAAAAACAAAAACCACCAAGCAAAAACCTTCACTCCTCCCTTCTTATACTATCTTCATTTGCTTATATTGAATCCACATTTAATCCACAGTATTATATGAAATGGGACCGAGTACATTCTGGTAAGTTCTAGGAACATCTGTCTTAAACACTTGCTCTAGAGTTCTAGCCTCTGCCTTCCCTTCTGGTCCTAATGTTGGTCTTGAAAAACTCATTCCAGTTTAGAGAGAGGAAGAACTATATAGAAATTATGGTTCAAACACACCAATTACGGTTCTCAAACTTTGCTGCTCATTAGAATCACCTGCAGTGTTTTAAAGACTCCTGATGTCTGAACCACACCCTGGACCAATTAAATTGGAGTTTCTGGGCATGGGGACCAGAAATAGTATTCAGTTTGAGAATCAGTGACTTAATTGTGGTTGCTAACGTGCCTGTATCAGTGTTGCCCACCATGGGCTGAAAGTTCCAGAGTGAGAAGGATCACATGAATCTCAAGTTACAACATTTCACGTGCAGGTAGGCACACAGCCAATGTTTCTGATGATGATGGAATACCTCAGTCTGTTTTTCATTAGCTCCAAGAATTGCAATATGGTTGTTATTCCAAGATCACACATATGTTTCAAAGTCATAGATGATCAACATTTTATTACACTAAAAAAAGTCGTCTGCTAACTGCTGAACTGCAGGGGGACCACATCTGAGGCTATTTCAGGAATGGCATTCAGATAACAAATATAGGTTTCTAGCATTACAAAATGGCTAGCTTCTCCCCACTTTCCTCCATTAAATATTAATCTGTGGCTTAAGCCAGTTTGGTAAGAACTCCTAATTGCCGACTTCACATAAAACCAGCCTAATGCACTGACGACATGGGTCCATTCCTGGCCATCTCCCCAATAGCCAGCCTGTTGTGGCTTGTACACAGGGGCAGTTCCTGGGGGTATCAGCTTCACTCATCGGTGAACTTGCTCTTGCTAATGACGGCTGTGGAGCCACATCAACAATGGTGGCATTGCTATCTGGGGCTCCCATGAGTCTTCTGGTGCCTGCCACATCCCTGCTGGGCTGCAGTGCAGTGCTGCGATTGGGACCAGTAGCTTGGAATCTGGTTCCACTTCACTGCAGAGCCAATTTTACCCCTGAGGGAGTGGCTATGGCATGCCACTCCTCAGTCGTGGTAGGAAGTGGCGCTCTGCCCGAGACCTGCAGAGGCCTGGCAGGTACCTCCAGGGCTGGGGCGAGGAGGCCTGCACAGCAGAGCTGAGGAATGGCAGGGATGTGGCACATTCTGCTTTCTGGTCCAGAGCAACTTTGGAAGGTCTCCGTGTCCATTTCCACATATTAGACATTTGAACAAGACCTGAATGGCTTCTTCATCAAGTCTGGAGGCAAGAAGACCATCTACCATGGTCTGGAGGTTCACTTGCTGGTTCAAGGTGCTGCCTTATTGCTCCTGAGCCCTGGGTTCCTCAGTTGGCCTCACATTCGGGGCGTGCCTAAGGTAGTGCTGCTTCTGGTATCCAGAAGCTCTGGGCAGCTCCAGAGGCATGTGCTCCTTCGCCTTGCTTCTCTTTTCTCCTTCCTGCTCCCACCCAGCAGTATTTCCAGTGGCTTCCCATGGGGTCGGATGGCTTCCTCCACCCTGCAATGGGGGTGGTGGTGGGGGGCAGGGAGCACGACCCCTTTCCTATCACTCCTATTCCTCCTCTTCACTTCAGCCTCACCCCTGCGTCAGGCCACACCACACAGGCATGCCGTTGACTGCAGTCTGTCATAGTACCAAGGTCAACATTTGAAATGTTTGTCTTTTCCTTTCCAAGGAATGGCAGACTTCTTCCCTCATCCCAGGCCTGGAGGAAGGTTCCTTAGAGGCCCTTGTAGTAGCTGCAGCCTCTCACTGTCACTCTTGAACCAGGAAGTTGATAAGGGCAGTTCTTGGGGAGAGGAAGGCCTTCTTGATGCTTCGCCCTTGCAAGAGCTTGACACCCAGCTCACTCTGGAGAACAAGTTCCCGGACTTTGTCCTGGTCCTGGGCGACTTGCTGAGGCACAGGAATTTTGCCGCAGGCTTTGTTGTTGATCTGAAGAGAAAAGCCCAGACAAACAATGAGGAAAGTCCTCAGAATGGCAGGCAGCCCAATACCAACACCTCTAGTCTGCAAAGGGCCCGGATGAATTTGTTTAGGGGAAGGGAAGGTAGGTCAGGAAAGGAGGAAGTTAGCACCCAGCTTCCCAAGAGGTAAAAATGCAGCTAGATGGATAGGATTAATGCCTGCGACCTGCAGAGAGGAGACAGTGAGAGTGAGAGAGTGAGAGAGTGAGAGAGAGAGAGAGAGAGAGAGAGAGAGAGAGAGAGAGAGAAAGAGAGAGAGAGACAGAGAGACAGACAGACACAGGAGTGAGGACTACCTTGTATTTTCTAAGTCCTACCCCCCTACACAGCTATGATGAAGATTATGGCAAAAATCCTCGACAAGAGATGGCCTGAGCCATTTCTGGGGGGAGAGGGATTACTGTGTCACTGGGGATCAAGTCTAAGTTCAGATGCAAGACAGACTGGGCTGTCCTCTTAGATTTTACCTAGGTCTCAAGTGGACCAATTTCTGGGAACATGGTCAACCTCTCTTTCTGATGACTGGCTCTAGAAGGGGGCGCTTGAGTGTGACAGCTTTTTTTTTTTTTTGAGTTGGAGTCTCACTCTGTCGCCCAGACTGGAGTGCAGTGGCCGCTCCTGGCCACTGCAGCCTCGACCTGCTGGGCTCCGGTGATCCTTCCGCCTCAGCCTTCCAAGTAGCCAGAATTACATGCATGCGCTACCACGTCCGGTTGATTTTTTGATTTATTGTAGAGATGAGGTCTCGCTGCCCAGGCGGGTCTCGACCTGTGGGCTCAGGCAATCCACTCACCTCAGCCTCCCAAAGGCGCGGGATTACAGGCTGAGCCACCGAGCCTGGCTATGCCTACCTTATTTTATTTTATTTTTTGAGTTGGGGTCTCAGTCTGTCACCCACTCTGGAGTGCAGTGGCATACTCACAGCCACCACAGCCTCGACCTGCTGGCTTCAGGCATTCCTTCTGCCTCGGCCATCCAAGAAGCTAGAAATACAGGCATATGCCACCATGCCTGGCTGATAGTTTGATTTATTGTAGAGATGAGGTCTCCCCAAGTTGCCTGGGCTGGTCTCAAACCTGTAAGCTCAGGCAATCTTCTCACCTCAGCCTCCCAAAGTGATGGGATTATAGGTGTGAGCCACTGTGCCTGGCCTATTTTATTTTTTTGAGTCGGAGTCTCACTCTGTCATCCAGACTGGAGTGCAGTGGCATGCTCACGGTCACTGCAGCCTCAACCTGCTAGGCTCAGAAGATCCTTCCGCCTCAGCCTTCTAAGTAGTTGGAACTATAGGTACGTGCCACCACACCCAGCTAATTTTTCTTGATGTATTTTATTTTATTTATTTATTTTTGAGTTGGAGTCTCACTCTGTTGCCCAGACTGGAGTGCAGTGGCCGCTCCCGGCCCCCGCAGCCTCGACCTACTGGACTCTAGCGATCCTTCCACCTCAGCCTTCCGAGTAACCGGAATTACAGGCATGCGCTACCACACCCGGCTGAGTTTTTGATTTATTGTGGAGATGAGGTCTCGCCAACTTGCCCAGGCGGGTCTCAAACCCGCAGGCTCAGGCAATCCACTCACCTCAGCCTCCCAAGGCACGGGATTACAGGCTGAGCCACTGAGCCTGGTTTCCTTGATATATTTTAGAGAAGAGGTCTCACCAAGTTGCCCAGGCTGGTCTCAAACCCCTGGGCTCAGGCAATCTTCTCACCTCAGCCTCCCAAAGTGCTGGGATTATAGGCATGAGACACTGTGCCTGGTAGTCATGCCTACTTTAAAGGGTGGTAAGAGTGAATTAGAAGTCCAATGCATTATCCATTGTGCAAAAAAGCCACCTATAAGAGTGCAATTGGCTGGGTGCAGTGGCTCATGCCTATAATCCCAGCACTTTGGGAGGCCGAGGTGAGAGGATTGCCTGAGTCATAGTTTTGAGACCAGCCTGGGCAACTTGACAAGACTTCATCTCTACAATAAATCAAAAAATTAGCTGGGTGTGGTGGCATGTGCCTGTAGTTCCGGCTACTTGGAAGGCTGAGGCAGAAGGATCGCCTGAGCCCAGCAGATGGAGGCTGCAGTGGCTGTGAGCATGCCACTGCACTCTAGTCTGGGTGACAGAGTGAGACTCCAACTCAAAAAAAAAAAAAAAAGACTGCAATTACAGTTTGAATGTGAATTACCTGGCACCATGTGTGATTCAGAGAAGACATAGTAAAAAGGCCACTCCCTGCCCTCTTTTACTTTCAGATACATCAGCACATCTAAGAGATATTCCCTACAAATGTGTATCATATTAAACAAATCAAATATATAAAAATTACACAAAGGATAAATTATAAGGAAATCCTTGCTCTATAAAAAGGTTTAAACAATAAACTACTCTTATGTATTTAAAACCACTCAATTCACACACACACACACACACACACACACACACACACACACACACACACACAATGTAGCCTTTCTGAAATACATTTTATCTATTTATTTTTTTGAGTTGGAATCTCACTCTTTGTCATCCAGGCTGGAGTGCAGTGGCATGCTCATGGCTACTGCTGCCTCAATCTGCTGGGCTCAGGCGATCCTTCTGCCTCAGCCTTCCCAGTAGCTGGAACACAGGTTTGTGCCACACCTGGCTAATTTTTTGATTTATTGTAGAGACGAGGTCTTGCCAAGTTGCCCAGCCTGGTCTTGAACCCCTGGGCTCAGGCAATCCTCTCGTCTTGGCCTCCTAAAGTGCTGGGATTATAGGAATGAGCCATCGTGCCTGGCTGAAATATATTTTAGAGTGAGATGTTCCTGCATTGTCAATCACGTCACTGTTACCCCCACCCCCAACTGCCAAGAGCACCTGAATGAAATTTACAGAGGCTGAAGTACAGGCCTCAGTTGGCAAGGAAGACCATTAGAATCTATAAGGCGCCCAGGCGTGGTGGCTCAGCCTGTAATCCCAGCACTTTGGGAGGCCGAGGCAAGAGAATTGCCTGAGCCTGGAGGTTCAAGACCAGCCTGGACAACTTGGTGAGACCTCGCCTCTACAGTAAATAAAAGAATAAGCCAGGCCTGATAGTGCGTGGCTGTAGTTCCAGCTACTTGGAAGGCTGAGGCAGAAGGATTGCCAGAGCCCAGCAGGTCGAGGTTGCAGTGGCCATGAGCCATGCCACTGCCCGCCAACTTGGGCAACAGAGTGAGACTCCAACTCAAAAAAAAAAAAAAAGAACCTATAAGGCAGGACAGGCTTATTTCTTCTCCCGTTCCAATCCCTTGAGGGCCATTAGATGTTATGCTCACATGCTTTTGATATATGATGACCTATAAAACTAAAGGCACCAGCAAGGAAAGACAAGCCTTTGTGCTCTGCTCCTGGTTGAAGGTCTGGCTGAGGGCTGGGTGGGTTAGTAAAGTCTGCTAATACCTCTCAAAACCAAGCTAGCGTATGGGGGTTGCTGGCAGGACAGGGACAGCTTGGCTCTGGGGCTGAGGGAAGACACTTACCAGAACTGCCATCTGCACAACATCAGGCTTCTGAAGGAACTGAGGGTCCACGGCTGGCCACGTCTGAAGTAGCACGCTGGCGTCCCAGGTATAGTGGGCACAGAGCTTCCTGGGCACCAGTGCCAGACCTGCAAGGCACAGAAGGGCTGGGTCACTCTAAGCATAGGGGAGACTCAAGAGCAGGATAAAACCTTTCACCCCAAAACCGCCTGGCTTGGAGTTGTCTGAGGCGGCTACGGGAAGCCACCCCTTACTGCTTTGACTGGCTTATCATCCCAGGCTTACAAGTAACTTATTTTTTTTTTTTTGCAAACCACACTTAGAGTTGTAAAGATAGATGGATACACTGTTCTAGAGTGTGCATTTAGAAAAACAAGGCTGCTGATTTTACTGGGTCATCTCTCTGCAGCTCTGTTGGTAAAGGACTGCCTTTGTGCTACCTGAGAACTGATCCCAAAGTACTGAGCAGCATTCACTTTCTTTCTCACCCATGCATGTTCTTGTGGCCTGAGAAGCCCTCCCGCCCAGTCCTTTCACTCATAATCACCGGAGCTGAGATGCAGTGAACAGCAGGACCCTCCTTTTCACCCCTCGCAGAGGGATCTTTCACCTCTTGGGAGGGGCTTCTTCTGATGACCAGACCAGAGGGAGCTTCCCTTGGTGGGTCAAATGTAAGAAAGCAGTGAGGAGCCGGGCTCAGTGGTTCAGCCTGTAATCCCACGCCTTTGGGAGGCTGAGGTGAGTGGATTGCCTGAGCCGGTGGGTTCGAGTCCCGCCTAGGCAGCGAGACCTCATCTCTACAATAAATAAAAAAAAAAATTAGCCGGGCGTGGTAAGCGCGCGCCTGTAATTCTGGCTACTTGGAAGGCTGAGGCGGAAGGATCGCCGGAGCCCAGCAGGTCGAGGCTGCGGTGGCCGGGAGTGGCCACTGCACTCCAGTCTGGGCGATTGAGTGAGACTCCAACTCAAAAAAAAAAAAAAAAAAAAAAAAAAAAGATAGCAGTGAGGAATGAAACCTTCTCAGGTCCTGCTTCCCAGAGTGCTTTGTGCTGCAACCTTGAAGCAGAGGTGGCACTCACAGGGTGGCACAGGGTCACCTGTGCAAGTGGAAATGTAGTGCTGCAGGGTGCGGTGGCTCAAGCCTGTAATCCCAGCACTTTGGAAGGCCGAGGAGAGAGGATTGTCTGAGCTCAGGGGCTTGAGGCCAGCCTGGGCAACTTGGTGAGATCCTGTCTCTACAATAAGTAAAAAAATAAGCCAGGTGTGGTGGTGCGCACCTGTAGTTCTAGTTACTTGGAAGGCTGAGGTGGATGGATCGCCTGAGCCCAGCAGGTTGAGGCTGCGGTGGCTGTGATCAGCATGTCACTGCACTCCAGCCTGGGCGACTGAGTGAGACTCCAACTCAAAAAAACAAAAAGAAAATGCGGTGCCTGTGCTACAGAACTTCAACCAGGGTGTTTCTTAGTAGGAAAGCTCTCATTTAAAAGTCTCTACTGATCTTAAGAGCACAAGGGATGACCTAAAGGTGCAGGGAATACACAGAGCAGAAAAACAGATCTCTGGGCAGAGGCGGCAGGTAAGCAGAACAAGGCTGGCGAGCTGCAGTTCTCACCTGGGAATGGTATTTCTAGGGGTGGTGGAGGTGGGACTGGCCCTTCTATACCTTCTCCTTGCTATCAGCCTCAAAACCAGGACGATGCATGAGAGGGACAGGCCCATGGTTCAGGGTATGGTCTGAAGCCAAGTCTGGGACAGAGGGAATGAATGCCAGTCCCAAGAATACTGGGTTATGAATGACAACTTTTTGTTTTATCTTCCTCAATGTCAAATGTAATGTGCATGCTCCTTGCAGAATATTTGGAAAAATCCAAAATATAGAGAAGAAAACCATGTTTTTACCCAGATACCTTTTCTATTTTTTGAGTCAGGGTCTCACTTTGTCACCCAGGCTAGAATTCAGTGGAACGATCCTGCTCACCACGCAGCCTTGACCTCCCGACCTCAGGTGATGCTTTCACCTCCGCTTCCTGAGTAGCTGGGACTATAGGTGCACGCTACAACACTGGGTAAGTTTTTGATATTTTGTAGAGACAAGGTTTTGCTATGTTGCCCAGGTTGGTTTCAAACTCTTGTACTCAAGCAACCTTCCTGCCTCAGCCTTTCAAAGTGCTGGGATTACAGGTGTGAGCCATAGCACCTGGCCCAGATGGCAATTTTTAAACTTTTTATTTAAAAGATTGTAATTTAATGTATTTCATGTAAGTCAGCCCCACAAAACAAAACAAAACCACCACCACCACTGGGATCATACTGTAAATACTGTATTCTTTTTTTATCCCCCATGTTTTAAAATAATACATAATTTAATGGAAAAGCAGTGTATATACCATATGATCCTAGTTTTATTAAAATTTATATGAAAAGTTAAAAGGATATAAACCAGGTAGCAACAGTGATTATTTCTGGGAGGTGTAAGGATGGGAGATTTTTATTTTTTCTGAGTCGGAGTCTCACTCTGTCGCCCAGGCTGGAGTGCAGTGGCACTCTCATGGCCACCACAGCCTCGACCTGCTGGACTCCGGCGATCCTTCCGCCTCAGCCTTCCAAGTAGCTGGAACTACAGGCTACCACACCCGGCTAATTTTTTGATTTATTGTACAGATGAGGTCTTGCCAAGTTGCCCAGGTGGGTCTTGAACCCGTTGGCTTAGGCAATTCACTCACCTGGGTCTCCCAAAGTGCTGGGATTACAGGCTGAGTCACCAAGCCCGACCTGAAAATCTATTTTAAAGTAAAGTTTTTCCATACTGTGCGATCAGCTCAAAATTTTTCTTCTGTTTTCTTTTTAAGATTTCATTTTCTTCCCCATTTCATGTTCGAATCTATCAGTCATTTGTGAATAATGTAAAAAAACATTTTTTAAGAAATACATGGTCAACTTTCTGAACCCAATTTATTGAATACATCTTTGCTTTCCTAATGGCTTGTGATTTTTCTTTCAGAATATATTATGCCTGGAATTATTTCAAAATGATTCACTCCAGAGCAGCTCAAAGTATCTGTTTGCAACGAGCTAAAGAACTTGGTCTAGAATGCAAATCAACATACTATTTCCTTCATTGAGAAAAAAAAAAAGTTGGCTTAACTGTGTGCCACAGCTGACTTAAATCCTACACAACCTCCTTATCTTGCTGCAGACTGGAAGTGAGAGTTCCACAGGTCACTCTGAGTGGCATGGTCCACCAGTCCATTCTGTTCTGCTGACCTCTGCCTTGATTCCTGTGACAGTGTCACAGACTGATTTGTTGTACTTTCTATGTCTTACTACCCAGCACTCTTGCTGTAACCCTGTCTCGTCAGTCAGCCTGCGAGAAGTGAAGACTCATCAGGATTGAGGATTACGTGGCATAAAAGACAGACTCCAGGTGCCCAGCTGGCTCCTGTGCCTGGGGCTTTTGTGCTCACTAATGAACCCATTTTGTGTCTAACAGATGTGCCTTTTGGCAGAAGGAGAAAGGAGATTTCTGCCCTTTCCTCAGAAGGACTCTATTAAAACTCACATCTAAATCCGAGACAGAGATCACAAAGGGAGATAATAATTTCTTTACTTAAGTGGGCTGGCCCCGTGTGGCTTGTCCTGTGACCCAGCTGCAGTGGGAAGATTTCCAAAACCTCCGTATGGCAGTTGTACAGGATGCCTGGGAGATGAAAGGACCTTGGACACAAATGTTCTGGGCAGAAGCTGCTACAAATTCCACTTTAAAAAAAATGAGGAAGCCCAGCCTTCCTGGAGCAATCAGGATGCTTATTTATAGCAGGCTGGGCTCCTGCCAGTGTTTCCATATAGATGGGAGTGGGCCATCCTGTTCAGCAGTGAGGAACTGAAACTTGGGACCCTGGTTTTTACAAAGTGTTTTTGCCTCCCCGTTCATTTTAGGGAAGTAAAAATACCTAACATTTGCATGGAAAACACAATGGTCTCTTTATGTGGCATAGCCACGGTGACAGGCCAGGTAGAGAGCTGCTGGCCTTGGGAGGTAGCAAGGCCCTGGCACGCAAGGCCACTACACATGGCCGGCTGTAGCCACAGCTCACCCCCTCTCCTTCCCCTCCTCTGGGAGAGCTTTGTTGCTGACCTTCCTGCAGAATTACCAAAACAAGCCTCCTCTCCCACTGAGAGTAGGTGAAGGTACCATGTTGCTACAGCACCCAGAGTAAATGCTGAGTGGCATGGCTTCCATGGATGGCAGTCTTCTCCTTTGGTCATCTTCAGGCTGCCTCCACCCAGCCCTCACATACACCAGAAGGGAGCACTTGGGCATTTGCCTTCTGATCCCTGCTGTGCCTTGTCCAGCCTTGGCAGTTTCAAGGAAGTGAATAGGCCGTGAAGCTACTTCACTTTAGCCTTTACCCAGAGAAATGGTCTCACTGACATCATCATCATCATCATTATTATCTGAGCCAGAGTCTCATTCTGTCACCCACGCTGAAGAGCAGTGGCACACTCTTGGCCACGGCAACCTCGACCTACTGTGCTCAGGCAATCCTTCCACCTCACCTTTCCAAGTAGCCAGAACTATAGGCATGCCACCACACCCTGCTAACTGTACGATTTATTGTAGAGACGAGGTCTCACCAAGCTGCCTAGGCTGGTCTTGAACCCCTGGGCTCAGGCAATTCTATTCCCTCCGCCTCCCAAAGTGCTGGGATTACAGACATGAGCCACCATGCCAGGCAACATTATTTTGAAATGACAGCGTCTACACAGCACACACATTCATGTATAAAATATCATCAGAACATCAACAGATATCTTATTCTCCCTTGTAATTATCACACATATTTCAACGTGTTTTTTATGTGTATAATTTTGCTGAAATGATGAATACTATATATATATCAAATAAATATATAAATCTATATCAAAACACTATAGCTATAGTATCTCACAGTCAACTTTTTTAAAAGGCTACAAAAAAGGTATTCCTATATTACTGAAGAAAAATAGATCAGTGAGCTGATACCTCAAGATGAAGAGCTTTTTCCGATTACCTTAGGGAGGTAAAGGCTCTTCTTGCTGTGACTCCCAAAATTAAGGTATTGATGGAAAAGAGACACAAGTTAGATGC